AGGCCCTCGAGGGCAGGATTGTAGCTTTTTTTTTTTTTAATGAGCATGTGACAATCAGGGGCATCGGCGGCTGGTGAGTCATCGCTAATGTCCACGGCGTCCTCGGGGTTGGACCTTCTTTTACCACCACCGTTCACTAGCCAAGACCAATCGGCTACGATGAAAGATTTTAAATCACAAGTAGAGTATCCGCTCCGTTTTACGCACAATTTAAAAATACTTCTGTCAGTGTGTAAATCAAACCCTCTGAATCCCTGTAAAAATTGTATATGATGATTATAGTCCAAGGTGAAACGTCAGCAGAATAAAATAGGCTTCTATCAGATTACACACACACACACACACACCGTGTATGTCAAGTATTATATAGCCCCTATCGAGTCCACTGTGAATGATGTTATCTCGCAGCAAAAAACTCTGCTGCATGGACTTTACTAAATGCTTTCTAAGCTCCCGCGGGGCCACACAACACAGCCTGGCGGGCCACATTTGGCCCCCGGGCCTTGAGTTTGACACTCCAAAACATAAAGATCCAGTGTTCGTCTTGCATTGACGACAAGCGCTCTAACAACATTTGCCACCGTTTAACCAGTCCCGGCCTCGAACGCTAGAATTTTGTGATCGTACCTAGCAATGAACAATACGCTCGCGGTAGCTACCGGGTCTGTATTCAGACTGCGGGCCAACTCTCTGCCTAAATCAACCCCCCCCCCAAAAAAATGCTACATGTATACCATAACCTCGAACGGTCAACTCTTCAGTTGCCCCAGATTGCGGGTCACATTCTGAGCAACAGAAGTGACACCAGGTACCAAATGAGGAAGAAATCTACCAGACATGAAACCAAACACTAGGTGGGATATCAGATACACGTTGTGATATGATACACCACATCCAGGGTCTAAAACCAGCTGTTATACGGAAACTGATATTAGAAACCTCTAAAGTCTTATTTCCAGAGGTCCTGATATCAAGGTGCATTCTGGTCAGATGGTACAATACCAGGTACAACCAGCAGCAGCAGCAGCGGTTAGTTGTTGTTGAATAGGCTGCATCAGCCATCACTGGGTCAGACCAATGGTGACGTTTGGTTCCATTGTGAATAGTATTATTTTAATTTGACTTGAATGCTTGTCTTATATATATATATATACACACACACATATATATATACATACATATATATACATACATATATATACATATATATATTGTGTATATATTAATATATTTAATATATTCAATTGGATACTTGTGTTTCCGTTAGGCGTCCGCGCTACAGCTGTTAACCTACTTTTGTTGCACCGTAGCGCTGCGTTGTGCAATGATGATGTGTGCTGAAGAGTGACAGTGTAACTTAAAGTGATGCTTCTGTTGCTGAAGATGATGATGATGATGATGATGATGATGAAGGTTATGGTGATGATGAGGTTTATTTTTTTTAAAAACAATGCTGATTTGATACTAGTGATGATGGTGGTCTAAAGATCCAAATTGATTTAAAAAAAAAATTTGTTTTTTTTTGTCTGATTTGGTTTGAGATTGAAAAAAAAAAACAAAAAAACAAAACAAGTGAATGAACACATGATGCACGGACCTGTCTGGTTTGGTTTGCAGATCCTCAGAGGGGGTGTGTAGGTTAAAGTAATCTGAGTAAATCCAATAATTCAATCCAAATCTGTTCTGATTAGGTGTGTTCCGGCTATAAAAAGGTGTATGATCAATAAAAACCCGCAGTGTGGTGAAGAATGAATTGATCAGAGCTGCAGCAGAAACACACACATACACACCCACCCACTCATACACGCACGCACGCCTGTGACCTTGCTCACACACACACACACACACACACGTACCCATGCTGGTCTCTGACAGGGTGAGTCTGCTGGACTGAAGGCCCTGAGCTGCTGCAGGCATTTCTTCGTCCACAAGAGGAGCTTCTCCTCACAGATTATAATCCCGGCGAGAATCCGCGAGGGTTCTGCTCCGAGCTGCATCCGCAGCTGCATGAGCAGCAAAGAGGGTTTTGTAACAGTGAAGCTGCAGACGGCTGAGCTCCACTCTCACACCGACTCCTCCTCATCCACCTTCTCCGCCGCTGCGCACTCCTGTACGGTCCTCAGTCGCTCGCTCGCTGGCTGGCAGTCAGCGTGTGCGATTCTGGTTCAGTTACTGTTCTTTCTGCCACTGTTGTTGCTGCTGCTGCTGCTGTTATGTGGTCGCTGGTGCGCATGTCACCGACACCCGAAAATATAAAAGGAAACCACTTGCCGTCACGCTGTCGCACGTAGTGACTCGCGTATGTGAGTGAATGTCAGGGTGAGATTAAAACAAAAAACAAAAAAACATGCAAATAAAATAATACAGAAACAGAAAGCAACGCAGACGACTAGACGCACATTTTTAAAGAATTATTAAATTAATTAGAAGAAAAAAAAACCCAGGATTGACTTGGATTGAATTGAGGATTATTTTTGTATTTCTTTAAAATTTGTAATATCATATTTTTATCCAACTAATCTGCATGTTTTGTTTATTTTGAATATTCATTTCTGTATTATTCTTTGTAATTTCTACATTTTCTTTTCTTTATACTTTTAATGAAAACATTACATTTTACATCATATTTCTGGGACTTTTATTATTTATTTGCATTTGTTTAATGATAGTAAGACTATAGTCTTGTTGGTTTTTAATGGCAGTGGTAGATGAGCTCGGGACCAGAAGAGTTCAGGTTTAAGGCCACCAGCTGCCAAGTTGTAGTTTATATTTTTATATTTCTGGACCTTTTTTTAAATTTTGCATTCCTTTTGCGATAGTAAGACTATAGTCTTGTCTTTTTTTTTTTTTTTTTTTTTTAAGGGAGAAACAAGAAAACAAGGTCACAAAACACATGCACAAGAATACAGACAGCACTCAAACAAGCAATGATGGCATGGGGATTGTAGGAACTAACCTTAAAGAACACCAGTGTGCACTAGATACGATGTGAGTTATGACATGTACACAATATATCTTATTTTGATATTAGCTGGTTTAAAAAAAATAAAAAATTTAAAAAATAAAAAAACTAGTCAGTGAGAGTTTAGCTCTTTTAAATTAGATGAAATTTTGCAATCACATTCCATTCCTCAGACACTGCAACGCTCCAATCCCCATTAGTTTTTATTAATTATATATTTTTTAAATGTATAAATGTTAATAAAAGTCTGATAAACCAATGCATATAATCTGTTAAATGATGACTGCAAGATAAGTTTAAAATTGTTTTAAAAATAATTTAAATACATGAAATGATGTATTTTTTTAAAAAAAATACAACAAATAAATACAACTCTATTCAATGTTTAGGACGAAAAACTAACCAAGAATAAATAAAATAGCACTAACGGTCTCGACTACCATTTCAAACAAAACACAACCGACAGTTGTTTTGAATAACTCACCATTTCAATCAAGCAGATGTAGCCACCGTGCCCGGTTTTTTGAATGGAAATCGCCATATCCGAAACCGGAAATAAGGACTTACAACGTATTTCTACTTCCGTTATACAAACGTTCCAATATCAGCGCGCCCTCTACAGTTGACTGCTGACATTCACAGTCTTTTTTTTTGTTTTTTGAGCTGGTTTAGTCACCTAGAACTTTTTCTTTGATAGAGAGAACGTGCTTCGACGACTGTAACAGAAAATCTACAAAAATAAATAATTTAAATACTTTATATATAAATGACGCCTACTTGTTTTTTTAATTTATTTTCTAGGTTCTCTATTGTGAATCTTTGAATTCCGCACTTCCACTAACTCCAGGATAATGAATCAAAATTCGATTAATGTACGCAGCAGCAAAAGAAACATTTACTGTACAAAAAAATAGAACCACACCCGCACGGACGCATCTCAAATCTTCAGTAACGGATTTTTTTCCATGACGCAAGTTGTCTTTTCAAGTATAAGCATAAGAAGAAGAAAAAAAAAGAGGGACCCCCTCACACCCGTCCCAATGTCCCAGGCCTTCACAAAGAAGCAGACGTGACTGGACTGCAGAGGACGTGGACTACATGAACTCCCGTAGAACTCCTGCAGGACTCGGTACAGCCCAAGCTCACACAGCGGGTCCACCTTGTTGTACACGTGCATAGAATCACTTTCTATTGGAAATGTATGATATTATGACCGCGAATTTGCCTCAAATGTGATCAAGGTTTAGACCAAAAAAGAGAAGGATTCGAGCGTTCACACAGGTGCATACCTGTAGACAAAACACCGGGCACAGTGGTGTTTGGGAGAATTAAGTCTGTCGGTAAAATATAAGTTTAAGTTGAAGACTTATTCATTGATGCTGAACAGAGAGTGAGGGATGGAGCTGCGTGTTCGGAATAAACCAGTACTTGACTAGCAACGTCAGTGGGACAGAAAGAAAAAGGGGGAAAAAAAAAAAAAAAACGCGAACCACCCTCACTGTGTCACTGCTTCACCACCTCATTCAGAGCCATGAGTTGGTGGATGAAGCTGCTTCTTTATTTCAGACACTAAAACTTTCTAATGAAACCCACAACAACTCTCTGACGAACAGCTTCTTGTTTTTTTTTATTTATTTTCCTCGAGGAGTAAAAATCACTTTTAATCTACGACGGGAGAAAACCTCAGGTAGGCATCGATAAATGATTGATTTATATAGATTTTGATATGGTGCTCAACTATTAGGTGCCGGCTTTGGGGATTTCAGGATAAAATAAAATAAAATAAATAAAATTTGTTATTGATATATATATATATATTCATATATTTAGTTATCTTGAACACATACTTAATTTATTTTACAAATGCCTTTACATCATCATCTAGGTTTGAGATATTGCTAACTAATATGTGGTCGTCGATTTAGTTATTATTAATGATATGTTAAGCAAAAATCAACCATTTGTAATTAATTAATTTTGACCATTTTTGATTAGAAAAAATAGTAAAAAATACTGCGAGAATGTCAAATCAGTATGAAGTCACTATAGGTCAGTGGTACGGTGATGTATTTGATGTATTTTTCTTTTTTTTCTGTATGAAGAAGATGGAGCCCAGTCGTACAGAAGACGGACAAGTCGAGGAGAAAGTCGTTAAATCTCCAGTAAGTTCCGTCTACCATTAAAAAAAAAAACTTCCACACTGAACATTCCTCAACAGAAATTCATTCCCAAAAAAAAAAAACTTTTCACCTTGAACATTCCTCAACAGAAGTTAATTCTTGAAACTGATCAAAAACTCAAAACAAAATCGTACAGATATTTAAAAGCAGATTCTCCTAAAACACACTATTTCATTTTTTTATGGCCCACATGGGACATACCGGAGTCTATATGGAATACATCCTAATCAGCAAAATTAGTCTGACCCATTGTCAGGCCATTTGGAATTTTTTTTCTGAGATATGAATTTTGGCAAAAAAATAAGGTCGGCTTTTAGAATGACGACGAAAGAAGAAAAAAAAAAACTTTGTTCATCGACCCTGCTTTGCGTAACTTGACAAAGTGTGGGCAAAAATATGGTTCATAATTGCCATTTAACATAAGAAATTTGACATTTGTGGAGTACTTACAACATTCGCAACAGCGCCACATCTGGTATATAAACATCTAAAATGTGGTCCACCTCTCATCAAAATTAAAAAAAACAAAAACCTGTATACGACTAAACTGACATTGTCCAAAATCTTAAATTTTTTTTTTTTTAATTTCAATGCCAATAGCTGCAACTGTTCGTGCGTAAAATAAGATGAACAATTCGGTGACACTTGGGTGACACTCTTGAGCGTCATGCAGTTCCTCTGAAATCAGGGCTGAACATCTGGCTGTTGTGAGAAACCCTCTCACTCGACTGCCACCAGCTGCTGCTCCTCTCACTGGAGGTCAGATCTCCCTGAGTGCTCCTCAAAGGGCAATGCGGGGTTTCCAAAGAGCAGAAGTACATTTCGAAAAAACTTTGAGAACACCAGGCGCTGCAAGAAAATGATGCCATATCTCGGGGTATGACGGGGATTTTATGAAAAAAAACGGAACCTTGGGAACGCGTGCGGACATGAGGACTTTACTTCTTACTCTGCTTCTTCTTTCAGCCTCCCAAAGTAATCCTCAAACATGGCCAGGAGCTGGAGGAGGAGCAGGAGGAGCTGGCCGAGCACCAGCCTCTGGAGCAGGAGGACCTGAACTTCGAGAGATGGAAGCGAAGACCGATTCCCAAGAGAACCCTCCACCAGAAGATAGACGACCTGAAGACGTACTTGTGGAATGCAGAGACCAACGAGTTCATGGGTCGCTCTGGAAAGAGCTGGAGTGAGTGGATGCATTAGAAATGGTTTTGGGGGGGGGGTGCTTTGTTTCCCAAAGACTGGCTCGCAACCCTCAGGTGGGTCGCAAGAATTTTTTTTTTTGGGGGTCGTTTTGCATTATGTATCCCAGGAGTTTACGAATAATGTCAATTGACTTGAGTCACGAAGGTTTGTGACTTTTAAAATACGGGTCCCCAGAAAAAAATGTTTGGGAAACTAAAGTACCTAAACTTCTTTGGAGCAGAGACCAGCAAACGTTGTTGGTTCTATAAGAATAATGACAGTTCTCCATCCAATTAGAACGCAGTGTTCTTTATGCATCCATAGTTGGTTCTACCGGTGGAACAGGAACAGGATCCTCTTTCGGGGATCAAAAAGTATCGCGATACTTTCATGTAGCTACCAGGTCCCCAACCAACTGTTGTCCTAGTACTGTTTGTACTTGTACTTGGATGTGCACGTATTTGGTGGTACTACTCTCTAGGTATCCCTTGTCGGTCGTACCTTCCTAGTACTTAGTAGTCCCGACTAGCTTAGAACAAAGCTAATTCATTTAAATGAGTAAATGCACATAGAGGCGCTAAAGCTAAATGTCGATTTAGTCGAATCGAATTAAACGAAAAGAGTCAAGAAAGATCGCGATAGTCCAAAAGAGTGTGTCAATGTGGGAGTATTTGTGTGCGCGTCCGTCTGTGTGTGTGTGTGTGTGTTTACATAGGTGCAGGGACAGATCTGAGTGTCCTAATATAAACAGACTTCCTGGGGACACAGCGGTCCTAAGCAGGAAGATCTGGTATTGGGCCGGACTCACATTCCTCTCCGTCTGACCACGTTCTCTTCAGACATTTTCCCAAAGCCTCGCTGACCTCCACGACTCTGTCTGTGACCAGATGATTTTTGGCCTTTCAGTCGCACACGTACAGATGCTCTGAGCTTTTTTTTTTTATTTATTTTTTTTATATATATATATCATTTTTTTCCACTGAGTTAACTGCCAAATCCTGCTGCGAAGGGATTTTTTTCTTTTGACCGAATAAGAAATAATGATGGGACAGCGTCTGCAAATCTGGTCCAGTGATGCTTCGTGATAAAAGTTTCTAAAAGAACCAAATTAGGCTAGAAAGAGCTAAAGAAGAGAAACAGTTTAGCTAAAGATATTTCATATTATATTTGATCTGAATTGACATTTTAAAAAAACCCCAATCCTTTATAGCATTGTTTCCCAAAGACTGGGTCGCGGCCCTCAGGTGGGTCAAATTTTTTTTTTTTTTGGGGGGGTCGTCTCGCATCATGTTTCCCAGGAGTTTGCGAACAATATCTATTGGCTTGGGTCGCAAATTCTCCGGTGACTGAGAGCTATACTGACGGCTGTACCGTCCAATAGGAGCCAAGCTCCAGGTGAGGCGAACTAAGCCGGCTTTAAAATCGGACTAGAATTTAGTCCTAGATTGCCCTGTCTAAATTACAGTCTGGGCTGTATCCCAGGCAGGTCTAGCAGAGGAGGAAGCAGTGGGGGGGGGGGGTGGGCCCCCCCCCCCTCTGTATGTGTCTGCTGAAGAATAAGCTATGAGAGCTGTGTGTTAGAGGGGACACAATACCAGAGCTGGCTAATGGCTGCTCCTTGGAGCTGCTAAGACCATGATTCACTACGATGGCAACCGGAGGTTCAGTTTGTCCCTTCGTGAAAAGGAGGGAATTCTGGGAGATTTCTCACTGGGCTCAAACAGAAGGCTCTTTGTTAGTATTGGGATGCAGGACTGGCTGCGGAGAGTCTGCTGTGAAATCGTCTGCACAGCGAAACACATTTTTACCAAAAGCACGTTTGCCTGGACTCGGTTCTAATGGACCGGTCTTTAAAAACTGTAGAACAGTCCCAGGTCCAGGAAGTCTTTTTTTTGTGATAACATTCAAATAAACAAACATAATTTAGATAATTTCGGGAGGGACAAAATGTTAACGTTAGCCCTCTTACTGCATTTGTTCTTCAACGAGACGGTTGTGGCGTTACTTCTGAAATTCTTAGTCTAAATCAGGGGGTGTCAAACAATACAGTTCCCCCGTGAAGGGCCGGTTGTAAATGGAAGACTGTATAGATCAGGGGTCCCCAACCCCTGGTCCGCGGACCAGTACCGGTCCATATGTTATTTGGTACTGGGCCGCAGTGAGACACAGTGAAAACAATGTACTTAATTTTTACTATTTTACTTCATTCAAATAAGTCCAGTCAGACTCTGATACTAACAGAATAGAAGTGTAAAAGATGTTTTATTTTGAAAATTTGATGAACCTTCAACCGTCTCAGCACCTTGGTACCGGTCTGTAGTAACTGACTGACCAGTCCTTGGAACAGAAAAGGTTGGGGATCCACCCGGGTTATCGCTTTTGACAAATATGATCAAGTAAGAGTCGGTTTCCTGCAGGTGGAATCACAACATGGATTACTGACCTGTGTTGTTGTTTTTTTTTTTTTCCTGTCCCTTGTCCCAGGCCTGATCCTCCTCTTCTACGCTGCCCTCTATCTGTTCCTAGCAGCCATGTTTGGAGGCTGTATCTTCTGTCTCATGTGGTCCATCAGTCCGTACCACCCGACCTTTAACGACAGAGTGATGCCACCAGGTAAAGAGAACCTCAGTCCACTGCTCCGCTGCTTTACCCGCAACCTCTGCACAGTTGACTGTCTGTGCGTCTCCACTGGCAGGTATGACCATGGCCCCACACCTGGAGGGCCACGACATCGCCTTCAACGCCACAGACCGTAAGTCGTGGAAAAAGTACACCAGGTCTATGGACGAGTATCTACGACGTAAGTCGAAACCCTTTTTTTTTTAAAAAAAAAAAAAACAGCAGGAGGAGACATAAAAGTAAGATATAAAAAGATAGTTCTAACATGTAAGAAAACACATCTCAAAATCATTAATTTTATCTTCTATTTGTACCAAGACGGTGTTTCCCAAACTTTTTTTTCTGGGGACCCGTATTTTAAAAGTCACAAACGTTCGCGTTCACCTAAGACATTATTCGTAAACTCCTGGGAAACATGATGCGGGACGACCCCAAAAAAACCCTCTTCCGACCCACCTGAGGGTCGCGAGCCAGTCTTTGGGAAACAATGCACTAAGAGAATAGAATGTAAAATACGTTTAAACGTTAAGAGAGACGTGAAGGGCTGCGTAAGAACTGCGCTGGCGTCACGTCGGTTAAATGGAAGTAGGCACACGATGAGTTAATCCTCGTCTTCACCAGCCTTTTTCTCTCTCTTCCATTAAGATCATGCAGTGCATGCTGGGAAGGGAACCCTCTTTGTTTAAACTCATTCAGAGTTTTTTTTTTTTCTCCCTTCCACACTCTGCTTTTGTTTCATCAGAGGCCAGAGTCTGGCACTGAGTCTGCTTTATTTATTCTCTCTCTCTCTCTCTCTCTCTCTCTTCTTTTTTTTTTCCCCCTCCTCCTCCTCCAGCGTACAACGACGGAGCTCAGGAGAGGAAGAACATTCGCTGCTCTCAGACGGGATACTTCATGCAGGATGACCTGGAGGAGAGTGCCGAGAGGAAGGCCTGTCAGTTCAAAAGGTCCTGGTTGGGCGAGTGTTCGGGTCTTAAGGATCCTCACTACGGTTATTCCCAGGGAAGGCCGTGTATTCTGCTCAGAATGAACCGGGTAGGGACACCAGCTCGGCATTGAAAAGTAGCAACCAAGTCTAGTCAGACAAATCCCAACTCTGGCTCCTTCAAAATAAAAGCCTGAAATGCTATCTTGGGTACAGACTTCACACAGACAGGGTCACACACGCCTTCTGACTCTGGGAGGAAGCTGGAGTGACAGGAAAAAAAACTCATGAACATGCTGGAGAACTTAAATATTCAATTCAGGTGTTAACTTACCACTGGGACTCAAACCAGTGACCTTTTTTGTTATATATGCTAAAAAAAACCACTGACCACCCTGTCCTGTGTGATACCATTGCTCCAATGTTTTAAATCAATTCAGTTCAAATATTCTGTGACTTCACTGATTGAAATCAGATTGACTTCATTGACACAAAGTGGCCACAGGAGGCAGCAGCAGCAGCAGCTCATGTGTCTCATTTAAATATCACTTTGTTTCCAGTTGTAAAAGTCCAACTGCATTGATGTTTTTTTTTTCTTCTACAGATTCTCGGTTATTTACCTGGTGAAGGTAAACCAGTAAACGTAACATGTGAAGTAAAGGTACAGGCGATCCGCACATTTGCATTTGTCTTTCATGTTTGACAACAACGCTTAAACGTTTCACTGTGTCTCCACCAGAAAGGAGCCGCGGCAGCTCTCGGAGAAGTCCAGTTTTTCCCCAAGAGTATTTTTGACCTGAAGTACTACCCGTACTACGGCAAACTTCGACACGTGAGTTTGGTGACGTTTCAGACCGTTATTCGCTGTTCACAGCAGCTCGTGACTGTGTACTCTCCACCTGTGCACCAGGGAAACTACTCGGCTCCAGTTGTTGCTGTTCGTTTCGCCTCGGTCCAGAACGGCGCTCAAATCCAGGTTCAGTGTAAACTGAACGGAAAAGGAATCATTAACGATTCTTCCACCGACCGATACCTGGGAAGCGTCACCTTCTCCCTGGAGGTCGGAGGTTAAAGCGGAGACACCGGTCGACGCTCTACAAAAAAAATAAATCACGGTTAAGTATGTTTTTTAATTAAAAAAAAAACCTAATTCATCCCTTTCCTGATCTATCCAATGAACAATCAGAGCAGAATAATAGAGCGACCGCTGGCGTCATCTTGCAGTGACACAACAGATGACGGGGCTTTTATAAATTCGACGCTTTAAAAATAAGGGGTAACATAACAATTGAGTAACACAGTGAAAAAAATTTGAATAATATGAGGAAATTATTAACCGATCTATCTAAAAACTTCTTATCTTCTTTTGGAAAAAAAAAATGTGCAAAAAAGGTCAGCATGCATTTTTTATTTTGTAGATTTTTTTTCTTCATACAGATTTTGGTGTTATCTAAAAACTTCTTATCTTCTTTTGGGGAAAAAAAAATGTGCAAAAATGGTCAGCATACAATTTTTATTTTGTAGATTTTTTTTTTCATACAGATTTTGGTGACAAATTTAAAATCAATTCAAATTCCAGTTTAATATTTTTTTTTTTTTTTTTAGGTGTGAAAATGATTATTTTTCTGGCGTATGTGTTCTGGTTCTGGACACAGCGATTTCAAATTTCATGTTGTTAAATATAAGATTCATGGATTAATTAACTAAACATCTCTTCATATTCCCGTCTATGCAAACTCATCAATAACTCCAAACTATATTATACGTTTAGATTTGTTCTGTCCAGTTATTTTTGTCGCTGGTTTTTCTGTGGTAACTAATACTTTTTTTTTTTTTTTTTAATTGTAAATTGTAAGAATTCAAATATGTCCGATAAACACACTGAAAGCAGGACTCGAGCTGAACTTACACAGTAAAATACAATGATAGTAATATACGTGTAGTGTATTTTTCTTTTTTTTCTTATAGCACAGTTACATTTATAATAATTGCTTTTTCTTTTGTAAAAAAAAAAAATATTTGCCCGTGGAAATTGGAAAAAATACTACATGAAACTGATCAATAAAGACACAAACTGTTCTGTGAAGTGTTATCGGAAGGTTTGTTTTAAGTCAAATCTGACATGATCTCTGGTTTTAGACATCAGTTCAACTTAGCCTCCAGTCACTAGATGGCAGCAGAGCAGCTCATTTTGTTAATCTTTTGTTTAATAATCAGGGGATTGTACGCAGAATGCTAGTGCCAGGAACTCATACGGTGGTTTGTACAGATAAATAAATATTACCAGGCGCTCAATAGTGTTTCAATTGTGTAACGTACTAATAATAACAATTAACATAATACAGTAAAGCACAACGTAAATGCATTTATTCAAAACATAAATATACATTTTAGTGCAAAGTCGAAATAAAAATCGGTCTCTTATGTTTCATCAATGACTTTTTATTTGGTGTCGCAATCAAAGAAAGACACAAAAAAAAAAAGAGTCGCTAATTGTGATGGAAAAAACGTAATTCGATGTCAGTCTTTGACGTGAACATTGGAGTAAAATATATTTTTAAAAAAAATAGAAGAAAACTTTATTTGGTACGGGTATTGAAATTGTATTAAAGGTTAACTTTCTAAAAAAAAAAAATCAACAATATTATAATTAAAAAAAACAACATGTTTTTTCACTTCAATATTCAATTGAAAACATTTTAGATATTTTTGAAATACCTGGATTTCTATCACCGGGCAGATCTAAACGGAGACATTTACATAATGACAGGTATTGTGATTTAAATAAAAAAATATTTGAGGTGAAATTCTGAGGCACAAAATGAAAAACATCAGTTTAGGTGTTTTTTTTTTCAGTCGATTCAGTCGAGATCAGACAAAAGTATTATTTCTACATTCATTAAATATTAACACTTTTATACAAGAGAAATGTATACATGATTTTTAGGGGAGGTATTATACACAAACAAGAAAAATAGTACCAGGAACTAAGTGGAATTTGAGTAACTAAGTGTCCGGTATAGGAACAGTACTAGATGCTGGGGACAATACAATGAAGTGCTGTCTTCATTTGTTACCACTGGGCGTTTTTTGAAAAACAGTGGTCCTCACGCAGAACTATTTGGACTGTTGTCTATGTACAAAGGACTTTACAATGGCCCAAAGAAGCGACTTTTGTCTGAGGATCCACCAGGAAGTCCAAGAGCTTTTGGAACTTTGAGGAACTTCTGTATTTTACGGACTATAAGTCACGTCTGAGGATCCACCAGGAAGTCCAAGAGGTTTTGGAACTCTGAGGAACTTCTGTATTTTTCCGACTATAAGTCACACTTTTTTTTCATCCTTTGGCTGGGTTTGCGACTTATACACAAGTGCGACTTATATATTAAAATAAGTCGCACTGACACTGATGGCCGCTAGAGGGCACTCTAGACTTGTGTACCAGTATTTGCTACTACTGTGAGTCACATTTTTTTTCATATTCTGGAAATACGGTAATTCGTCTTTAGCGAACATTTTCCCCCCCCCCACAGACAGTCTCTCCCAAAAGGGAACTTCTTGTTTATGAGAAAGCTTTTTGATACGCAAAGTTCCTGGCACTATACCGTGTAAAGAGTGATTCTGTCAGTCTGGAGTAAAGGTGTTGAACATCAAACCACAGCTAATCCTTTTAGTTTGGTTAAACATGCAAAAATCTAACGGAAGTTTACACTTTAAAAACATTCTTGTTCCAAATGTTCAGTTGCCAGAGCCGAACACAAATGAGGCAGAAATTTAAAACAGGAAGTGGAAATGAAGACAGCAGCTCGTCTTCGGTGGGACAGTCTCACAGGAAAAGAAAAGGCAGAGAGGGAAAAGAGGAGGGAAAAAAAAAAAAAACCCCAGCCTGGTTTATACAGACTGGTAGCCAGTGCGACTCTTCCTCCGACCAATCAGATAAGAGATGAGAACAAGGATGATGAGGAAACTGAGGGCCACGCCCACTGCAATGGGCACCAGAAAGCTCAAATCAGAGTCCAGGAAGCATTGTTCAGCTGACAGACAGAGAGACAAAAAAAAAGAAATGAAAAAAAAAGAGAGAGAGAGAGAGAGACAAGCAGAGACGGAGTGTTAGTAGGCTGAGATTCTTCAGCAGAAAACACACAGGAAAAACAGCAACAGAGATAAGACTGGACATGGAATTAAAGAGTACAGGCAACGTAAAGATCAGAGGAAATCACAAGGGCTGTTTGTTTAGTGGTTATTAAAGGAACAGTACGGCTTTTCGAGAACCGCACACCGAAAAAGGGAATGGATTTTTAGTCGCAGCTAAACAAAAATGACCTCCGTAGATGTTAACACAGCATTGACAAAATTTAGGAATGTGTCGGAAATGTGTTGAAAAATGTCTTCTCATTTCAAAAATGTGAAAATTTCAGCTAATCATACGGTGTTTTAAAGTTACAAATGTGGAAAAATTGGGAGAAGTTGACATGTTTTTCCAAATTCTGATCACAAAAATACATTTTTCCCAAAATGTCCTTTGTTCCCGATGAGTTAAAAACACATGGAAGGAAATGTGATTATGGCACAGAGCGCTCATATTTTTAGTCAAAGAGCAAAGAAAAAGACATTTTGTTGTTTTGTTTTTTTTTTGTTAAGGCAAAGAAGTGACAGGACGTTAAGTGTGGACTAGAAAGACTCGTAGCCCGTGGCCATGTTTCTCTTTCTCCCAATGAAATATGCCACAACAACGATAAGAATGAGAACAAGCAGGGCCACGCCCACAGCGATGGGAACGAGGAAGCTGTCTTCGTCAGCCTGGCAGTCTTCAGCTGGACCAGAACCATGAAACACAACAGAGACAGTTTCACAAAGTGAGAAAGATGAGCTGACGACTGAACGACGTTCAACACAAAACAAAACCGACGTGACAAAAAAAGGAACAAACGTTAAAGTCAAGTGTCCAGGACAACTTTTTATTTTGTACATCATGAAATCCTGAAAAAAGCTCTTCTGCAGTCTGACACACACACACACACACACACACAGCTACAAAAATAACTTGTCGACAGGGTGAGAAAGCAGAGAGTAAAAAAAACTCCAAAGAACACGAGATGGTGATGCAGCGATGTTCCCTTTAATGGCGGTGTGTGTGTGTGTGAATGTATGCGTACGGAGAAAAGAAATGTCAAGGTAAAACATTAGTGGTTCAATTTACGTTGAAAGGAACAGGTGATTGTAGCCCTCGTTTTAAAGTGTAATCCCAATATTGACCACTAGGTGGGTTTTGAAGGACGAATGAGAATTTTTACCCAATTTGAGAGAAAGTCTTGGAGATTGGTGTCAGAAAATGTCTACGGTGGAGACAGGTTTAAGAGACGGCACGTCAAAGACGGAAACCGGTTCCTAAAGCTGCGGACACGCTACGCAACTTTTACTCGGATTTTAAAACACCACCATCATCAACTATTGTTATATATGACGACCGAAAACCTGAGGATCACCACAGAAGGTCAGAGGCGTCCACCATCAGCGTTCCAGGAAGATCCTCGGATTTATTTTAACCAATGGCTAATGTCGTCACAAGTTCTGCAAACGGCGTTCTGAACTTCGCTAGCGCGTCTGAAATGTTTTTCCAACACTGGATTTTTAAATGCGTTTAGGGAGTTTATATGAGATGCGGGAAACGTCAGTCAGCATCTACTGGCCAAATTGGCCTGAAATGCAAATTGACAACATAGTGTAAAAACTTCGGCTCTACTTGGGGACAGCCTATTGGATCAAAAAAAAAAAAACAACAACAGTGAGTGTGACGCGAAGGCGGCAGGAATGGGAATAAACTGCTCATAACACCAAACCTTTACAATGTCGCTGCAAAACCTTCACCGTTAAGGCAAACCGAGATCGAAAACAGCTTGAAATAAACAAGGACACAGAACGCTGAAGTGTGGTGCTGTTATTCAAACAAAGCTGGCAAAACTAACCACAGAAGCCATTTACTAAATAATACTTACACTACAAAATTTGTCTTCAGCCATAGTTAACAGAAAGTTGTTGTTTTTTTTTGTTTTTTTTTTTACAAGAAACAACACAAAAAGTCAACAACAACCTACCACAGGTTTTGCTGCTATTTCAGAAAAAAAGAAAAAAACAAAAGAAAAAAAAGAGTCAGAGCTCAACTGTATTACTGACAAATCCATGTCTCACGTGGCCCTGAAATTCTCACAGCAGTTTTGGTCAGGAGGCGTGATCTCCTGCACACATCTGGATTTGAATTTATATGAACTCGTATGGAGCAAATTGTACTGAGAATCAATTTAAATGTTGAGACCAGATCTGAAATGTGTACAGGTGTGAACACAGCCAGCCCGGTTCAGTCCCTTTAATTAAATACCTATGTGCTGTACCTTTAAGCAATATCCAACAGGGGGACATGACAGCCGTATCAATCACTCAACACATCTAAACAAAAGAAAAAAAAAAAGAAAAAAAGCAGTCCCTGCAGGGAAAGGTTTTACTTTGTAAAAAGTATTACCTTAAGTACCTTAAGTACCTTAAGCTAAGTTTTCAAGGCCACACAGAGTGAGTTGAGCTTTTATAAACGCGCTTATGGCAAGTACTGACACAACTTCAGTGCTGGGGTCTGGAATCAGCCTGACTCCCAAAGTATATAGTAATGTTAGCTAGTTAAGATCAGATATTTTTTCCGGAGTATAAGTCGCTCCAGCCACCTAGAGTGCCCTCCAGTGGCTGTGAGTGAAATTATATATTTTAATATATAAGTCGCAAACCCAGCCAAAGGATGAAAAAAAAGTGCGACTTACAGTCCGGAAATTATAGTAATTAATAATAATCAATATTTATTTGTTCAACATTTGCCTTATCTTCTTAAGAACGCTGTAACACAAACTGAAGAGCATAAAGAAAGCGGTTGGTGACCCCCATGCTGCCTTCGTCAATAAATTCAAATGTGATTTTGTGCAATCGACCGTTTGAAATAATTTGTATTGATTTCCAATAAGAAGACAAGCAGCGCCGGTGTCCCTGTGATTTGCAATCGACCGTTTGAAATAATTTGTATGGATTTCCAATTTTCAATGACACATCAATCTGACCAAAGAAGCAATTAGAAGACGAGCAGCGTCGGTGTCCCTGTGATTTAAAAAATCACTGACCGTCTCTAAACTTTGGTCTGGGAGAGTGAGTCGGTTCGCAGTTGTTCAAAACCAACAGGTTGTAAATGATCTGAGCATTTTTAATTAAGTCTGTTAAGTGACCACCAGATTGGTCCCAGACCCCACCACTGACCTGAGCGTCAGTCTCTAACCACAGTTGGTAAAGGCCCGAACCATCTCCTTAAACTGATGCACACACACACACACACACACACATTATACACATCAATCGCTCACATACACACAGAGTATTAGTGCATTTGCATGTAAAGATAATTGATTTCTTTTTTTTTTTTCCCTTTTAATGTCCAAAAATTCAGTTTGTAAAATTTGAGGGCGCCTTTTTTTGAACAGTGTTTAAATGATGAAGCAGATAAAGTGCAGATTGAATTTGACCAAAGAAGTCGTGGGTTTGATAAAAGGAATGACAAAGTCCTTATCGAGAGCCTACGCGCTTTAAGGATGACTGTCATTATGCTCTGCTAAATATTTGATGATACTTATTCACATTTATATTCAAACACTTTTTTCTTTTTTTTTTTTTACATATGAAACCATAGACTATTTTTTTTCAGTTTCCCCTGCTCTGCAGGGACAAACCGTTGACTAAAGCTTTCGTACCCACTGAAAACTTTTCACCTGGGCTTTTTTAGAAAAAAGGTCAACGTCGCACTTCATGGATGTTACTGTATGTGTTAGGGGAGATATGAACGGGGGATAAAGGTAAAACCAAAAATGAAGAACAAAAAAAAAACAAACAAATGTGCACAAAGAAAAAAAGATGACACAAACGACAAAGAAGGAATGTGTGTCTAAAGAACAAGTGCAGGATCGTGCTGTGGCTACTGTCACACATTTATTATTTCTGTCAATTTGTTCGACCCAAAAATCATAATTTCATTTAATTAAAAAAATAATTTTGTCATTTAACCTCAGGGTTTGAGGATATGTGTGTATGAAGTATAACCGGTGAGATTTAGAGAACAGAAAATTATCTGAGAATTTCATTTCAATTTGGTAGAAGCACAGATCTTTGCACTTGACAATTTTACAAAAGTGGAAGGAAAAAAAAAAGGAAACATTCAAACAAACAAAAACAAAGACAAAAAAAAAACAGCAAAAAGAAACAAACAAGGATAAACAAGTTTGGTCCTTGAAAATTCATTCATTAAAATCCAATCTCTTGTTGATGTATGGATTTGTCGATTATGAAAGATGCTTTGAGAAACTGTAATAGATTATTGTATTATCGTCATTTAAAAGCCAAGGACCAGGCTTGTGTATGCCCCGATGCTTTGGGACTGATTTAAAGGGTCTGATATCCAACGTAAGTCTTTCTTCGACCAATCACGTAAGCAATTACTACAATGACAATCAGGCCGGCCAGAGCGGCGCCAACAATGATTGGGATTAGGATGCTGGCGTCGTCCAGAGAACATTCAGTGGCTGCAGATGAGAAGAGAGTCAGTGAGTAAGTGGAACTAAATCTTATCAGTCATTCTGAAGGTGAAGTTAAAAAAAAAAAAAGCTCAAAGCTGCAGCAGAAACAAGTAAAAAAACATTAGGTCAAAATTACTGTCAGCCGTTACCGTACCCCCAGCTGTTGAAATAGTATCATATAAATGAGACTGATTTCGCTTTTCTACAGTGACTGCAAATAAATCTTTTGTCCTGTTCATGTAAATTCAACATGACATTGGCTTCATGTACATTCTTTCTTTCTTTCTTTTATTTTCCCGTGACATTGTTTTTTGATCTTGAAAATATATGACAGATCCTCAGTATTGTCACGGAATTGTCTCGACATCATGGTCATCAATCAAACCGGTGAAGTTGAAAGTGATCAAGTCCTTCATTACTTATTTATAAAATATGTACAACTTCTCAAGTCCTTCATTACTTATTTATAAAAGTCAATATACGTTTTTTTTTGTTTGCTCTGAATTCTACTTTTATTACTGGCTTCACGAATGACTCGCCTCGTAGTTGTTTATCACAGTTCATCTGAACAATTCTGTGGCGTCAACTTACGGCAGCGTCGTAATTTTCGCATTATAACAAGTTACAACATAACACAATGATGATTAAGAACCTACCTGTGCTGAAACCTCCCTTCACGACTCCAAAGGGCTGAACCTGAAGATTAAACGTGTAGAGACTCAGCCGTTCGGTGATGGTGTAGTTCTGCTCTTTGTTACACATGTAGGAGCTGCCGACAGCTGCCTCCCACAGACTCAGGTTAGACTTGGACTCGTTAAACTCCACACCTTAGGGTCAACACAACATCAGCCTCAGTGACAGAAATCTCTCACAAACTCTCCAAGAAGATATGACTTTGCTACTTTACCCGAGCCGGTCTTCACTTTCACGTTCAGAGTCTGGAGGTGGAATTTGCCCGAGTCCTGTAACAAGAAATATTTTAAGATGAAAATTCAACCCAGTTTGTCACATTGTGTTGCATTTAAATGTTGATATTTGAAATCGATTATATTTTTAAAGATAAATGTCAACAATTCATATTTTAATCTGATTAATCATAATTAATCATGATTGAAATGAATCACAATTAATTGCTGTAGCAAAACGACAAATGACAACAAGTTAGTGATTAACAATTAATATTGATAAAGTCCAGAAAGAAATTGCAAATAAATAAAATACGACCTCATCTTTGCCTCATAGACTGTGGCTTGCAGAATGTGTGGACTTTGATATCGTTCAAACTTCGCTGATGTCGTTTTCAACAATATTGATCAGTCTACAGTCTCCCTTATTTATTGCCCCGCCCTCTCTGAGGTTGATTGGACGCAAATAAAACTTCGTGAAACAAAAACTTCTCTCCCATCTGGTGTGCCAATAGCAACGTGTTCGTTGACCGTACTAGAGCAACGGTAAATGGAGGAAGGGTGCAATTGTTGAACACTGGGGTCCTTGACTTACGTCGGAATTCTGTTCCTATGGAGAGATGTAACTCGAATTTTTCCATAAGTCAGCACTCAAATAATATACATAAGTACCGACCGACGCTAATAACAAAAAAAAAACAAACAACCCCACTGTAATTTCCTAGCTTGGTATCCGTGAAGCGTAAATGTCGTAACTGATGACACCCTGTATACGGTTTGCATCATTCTGCCAAATAATTTAGTCTGATTAATCTTCACAAACTACTAAACACGATTCATGTGTATTTTTGACAACCCTTAAATCAACTACAGCGGACACCCTAGACACGAGCTGAATGCGTTCTACAACAGCACTTGAACGTGGACTCACATTAGAGAAGGTTAACAGCAGATCGATGGTGTCCGACACCAGGTGCAGATCACTGCTCTTCTCACCACAGAGTCCAGCGGCTTTGGTCTTGTTGGGCTCCAGGTTTATCTCTGTGTAGTTCTGTAACAGAATAAGCGGAGAGTTTGTGGAAGAACATCTGGATGTTTATGGTTTAGTGTTAGGGGAAATTGACTTACCTCCTCCTGCTTGAAACCCAGCCTCAGTCCAAACTTGGCCAGCAGACACANGGTGGGGGTGGTGGGAGGAAGAGAAGTAGTGAAAGTGGAGTTGGTGACAGGGGCGTCGGTGGTGACGTGAGTGGTGGGAGCAGCAGAGGTTGTGGTTTGGTCAGCAGAACAGATGGTGACTGAAGGGAGAAAATAAGATAATTTAATGATAAAATATTTTACAGTAAGAGAAGAGGGGGGAAAAAAAACACATGAAGGAACTACATTAGAATGACTGTTGGTCCGCTTTTTAAAATGTCAACTGTGGTTAAGGGGACTGTGGTTAAGGACACCGCAGTGGGAACCTCGTAGATCATGCTACTGTCTTCGGTTCCGCTATGGGAACAGTTTCTGTTGTACTGGTGCCTGCACTGGAAATAGTTCTTGTTTCCAGCACTAAATCAGATTTGTCCAGATCACGTGGTTCAGAAATAAATATCTCAAGTCAATATTTAAAACTAGACCTAGATATTCAGGGTCTGGAAACTCGTATACCTTTTTTCCAAGTTGAGTCCAAGGACTTTCAAGATACATGTTTGTCATATGTAGAAGATGAAGATTTTTTTTTTTTACAAGCTTTTCCCAACCATATGACTTAAAATTGCTGTATTTCAAACTCCAGTCTGATCATTGGGAGTTTCCTCTCACCTCCTCGACTGCAGTTGTAATTGGACATACTGAGTTTGAACTTACGATTCTCGCTTTTGCTGCCATTGGCCACAAATGCCTGCATGAGGACATTTGACAGTGTCATGTTGACCAGACCGGCCTCAATCAGGTCACTGCTCATACAGGAGTAGCAGGTGTCCGCATCGATGCTTATAATCCCAGTCTTGGCACTCACAGACTTGGTTTCTAAAGAAGATAAAATTGATAAAATTAGCAGGTCATAATTGGTGACAGTTGAATTTTTCTGTAGTATTCTTCTTACCATTGGAAACCGAATCTGGGAACACGGAGGAATCGCTGAGGTTGTAGGAGAAGGTGATAAAGTCAGCCGTGTATTTGTTAACATCCTTGGAGAAGTTCATGCTCAGAGAGTGGCCCTCTCCAAAATTCAGCTTCAGCACTGAACTGCTGCTGCTGCTGTCACACGTACTTCCTTCTGTCGTCACTTTTTCGGGAAGTTGGATGTTTACAGTCTGAAATGAACGCAAGTAAAAAAAAAAAAAAAGATATGATACCTATTACAAGTTAAAAAAAAAAAAACTACTTGAGAGACAACCCACTTACTTGAATTTAAAATAAGTGGCCAGATGATCAATGGTACAGTTGACACAAGATATAAAAATCCTCATGATCAGGAGTGAGTGAAAGTGAAATACTTTCACTACTATACTCATTGTGACACAGCCCACCGTTGCACGCAACGAAATGTGACCTCTGCTCCTAACCCATTACCAAAGTGAGCAGGGTGTAGGGACGGTGCTATTCTAAGTGAACCTCAGTAACTAGGCAGCAGGTGAACTCAAACCTGAAACCTTCCGGACCCAAGTCCGCTTCCTTAACCACTAAGCCACCACTGGTACAACCTAGTAGTTAAGCCTGTTAAAAACTCCTGAAACTCAAGAATAAAATCCTCACTGTGCTTTTGTGGACGGTAAACAGCAACACCCAACGAGACTTGTGGGCTTGAACAGAAATAAATGGAGGTCAAAGCAAATAATGGTTTGTGGGCAGCAAACTGATATCTATTTATAGTGCTGAGCAGCAGGCAGGTTTGCACCAGCAACTTTGTTGGTGTAGGAGCGAGAAGGGGTTGCACAGGATTAAGCTGCTTAAGTGACATGTGTAAAAAATCATTTAAAATAAAGCTTAAACAACAGTTCATGAGCGTTGCCACAGGATTAAGCTGCTTAAGTGACATGTTAAAAAAATCATTTAAAATAAAGCTTAAAAAAAAAGTTCATGAGCGTTTCAGACCGAGAGTAAAGCTGTGGCTGAGATAAGATCTCTCAGCATCAAATGTGACATCAACTCAGTCGCTCAAAGCATACTCACTTTCTCCTCTGCTGCTGCTGCTGCTTCATATGACACTGACAATGCCACACTCAGATTTGCATAGAGACATAGTTTGCCGTCTTTGTCTTTGACGTTGACTTCAACTCCATGCGAAAGCTGGAAGACTGAGAAGACAAAGAAGTTCTCAGAGTAGGACCTACCATGAGTAGGTTACTGACATGCACAATTAGTTAAGTACAATTGAGAGACATTCAGCACTAGCGAGCTGTCAACGTAAAAAAGAAAGTACAACAGAAAATAATGAAGATGAAACCTGCAACAGAGAGTTTGTAAGAAATGTTTCATAATCACTTGTAATAAGAATGATCAGAATCGCCAAAAAGATAATAACAAATGCAATCAGTGCATCTCACTAAGACTGAGCAGTGAGTGTTAAACTGCAGAGCAGGATAGAACTGGTATCAACAGTGTTATTTATTAACTTTAACCCACTACATGTAGCCAGCGACAGACTTTCTGGTCAGCATAAAACTCACAACCTCAGTTTCTTTTTTCCTTTTTGATGATTGTGTTTTCTAAATAGAGGGAAAGGCAATGATGGAGCACATGACTGATCATATGGACACAATGACACAGTCGGGTAATGACATCAACAAAACTGGATTACACTAATCCAAGATCAAACCCGTTAGCATACATTTACAACAAAGACTCCACAGCTCAAAATGCACTGTGTCTAAAGATTTAACGGTCAGTAAAACATTGATTTCCAGATTCTGAAAACAATACTGTGCAGAGGTCAACAACGTAGGTCAGAGTTCATCCACATGTGCACAGTCATCGACTCAACTGCAGCTTTTATTGTCATCAACTTTGCAAGCAGCAGAAATTTTAGCCCTTCGACTGTTTGTCTGAGCTTTAAAAACATATTTTTGTACAATCATCATCCTAGTGCTGTAATTAAACTTTAGACGTGACATAAAATGCAGTGGGTTCGTCATGCAGTATTTTATATAGAAAGTAAAACATTAACTACAGCCATTATGTTTTACTAGTTCATTTGTAATGATGAACAAAAATTGTTCAACAGGGAAACGAAAACAAGGAACAATAAACCAATTATCCAAAACTGTCTATTTAAATAATAGAAGAAAAAAAAAAACCCACCAAACAACGGACTGTTACGGAAAAACTTGATAATTCCATGTACTATTAGGTCAGATCAACTATTAGGTTTGCTAATGTTTAAAGTGAAAGACAAAAAACATCACATGCTTTCTTATCCTAAGTTCAACGTAACAAAGATCAGATGGAAATAAACATGTCTAAATCCACACTGTACACCCCTTATTATAAAATTAAATTAAATCACTGGCTAATTTACACGAATAACCATTAAATACACTGCTAATCAGACATATACAGTAGTAAACAATGTTGTAGTGTGGAGAATTTGGCCAGGCAGTTGTTTATGTTTTTTTTTTTTGTTGTTGTCTCTTACATTTTAAATGTATATTAGAAAATAGCCAAACTTTAAATATCCCTAAAAGGAACGTTTTCGTTAGTCTATCTGAAACAGAAAGCAGTTTTATTGTGCGCAGGCGCAGCAGTGCTTTTCTCGTGCCAGAGAATCCTGTAGCGCCTCCACGTACCAATTTTACAGTCGAATCTTAAAACCTCGACCTTAAATGTGCTATCACAGTGCGATTTAAATCACACAGTTAAAATTTGAATATAATATGATGCAACAGAATCAAAACAACAGAATACCTGTTAATGGCCATAATATCAGGATAATTACACTCATTCCCGGGTGAAAGTAACGGGACGTTAAAATATTTTGTTGCGTTCTTTTATTATAAAAGACATAGAAAAAAATCTTTTTTTAAAATGCTTAGATTTTAATGTTACAAACTCATTCATTTTGTACTAGCTTACCTCATTTGATGGCTCATGGAAACAGGCCATTTTGTAAGCGTTTTTTAAATTCTCATATATAAAAAACGTGTTAACATCTTGCTCGCTTTTAATTCAGTTGTTTAATCGTTAAATAGTAACGTTTATAAACCTCACGCGTCATGGTCATAATTTCTGATTTCCGGTTCGATTCACTGCGAGCTAACTAGCCAAATAATGAAAATAGTTGTGTTTTTTTATATGTTCGGTTGACATTGATTAGAAGGGCTTTATTTGTATAAAATGTTGTTCTTTTAAAAGACTGGTGACAGTAAATTTGATGCCATAACCGTTTGATATACAGACCAAACACTTTGTTGCGTTATTGACGTAGGAAACAAATCAGCAGCTAATGCTAAGCTACATCTGGACAACGTCTCTTCGAGTGAATCGTATTTTTACAAAATAAAACATGTCACACACAGCACATTCGATTCGTATTATGATTTAAAAATTAAATATGACAACAAACAGTAAAAAAAAAAATTCATTTCTGATTTTCACATTAGTTTGAGGCCCCGAAAATAACTTTAAACGCGTCACGTCAATAAACCCAAGTGTTTTTTTGGTTTGTTTGTTTTTTATCCTAATTTTAGACAGATATGAAGAATTAGGTAGTAATATTAAAACACGTACCAGTGCCACAGACGAGCAGCAGAACATAGGCAGCAGCGCAGCGGCTCATAGTTCTGTTGTTGTTTAGTCGCGAGGAGCAGAAACAGATAGCCGGCCGACAAAATGCTCTGTGTTCGGGTTTGAGCTGCAGTCGAGCCGCTGAACACTGAACCGGGAAGTGAGTCATGTGATGGATGACGAAACAGCTCAGGTTTATGTGCATACGTTTAGAAAATCAAAGTCAAACCGTCAAAGCAGGAATTGATTTAAAAAATAAAAAAAACACGATAACGTTTATATCTATGTGTCATATCATATTTAGGTGATTGCATTTTTTTATAGAAATATTTTAAACACATTTTCCGTAAAGTTGTTTTTCCGTTTTAATGTTTTTGATGCAATTTTCATACAAACACCTTATATTAAAATTAATTCAGAAGTATTAAAAATGCTTGTCAGAATATTAATTCAGTCACTTACATAACTTGCAACAGTGGTTCCCAAACTACTCAGCAGTTTTGTAGATAAGACTTTTGTTGAGGCTTGCCACTTATACACTGTAGTTTTCACAAAACTGCAATTCTTGTTGTACAAAGTACTAGCACTGGTGCAACTTCCCCAGTGCAGGACAAACATTAAAATAGAATACATCTTTCTACACAAAAGTGTAAAACCTAATCAGCTCCCTGAAATAGAAAACATAAAACCCAAAACACCGGAACACTCACCAACATTTCTCTCTTCTGTTGTCGACCTTCTTTCAAGGTAGCACCTGTGAGACTGGCATTCCTAGTTCATGAGAGTCTTGAGTTCTTAGGCAGAACCGGTACTGGTTTGATTTGGTGACACTATAGCAGTCCTTTTTTAAAAGAAAGAAAAATGTTATTTTCGAAAATAAGAAGAAACACAGATTCAAACAGTTGTTTTAATCTGAAGCCATTAATCTAACAGAGCCGTACAAACATGTCAAACCATTCTGTTTTCCGCCTGGTTTGAAGGTTTCCTACCAGCCTCACAGACTTTACTTCAACCAAATAATAATAAGAGTTTTGATGAAATAGTGTACGAAAGGGATTTGACACCACATTAGTCGAAGTGAACAATGGCGAGAGCGTTGCGTTTTCACAACACGTTAAGAAAGCTTGGGATTTGCTGCTTAAATGACTTATGTACAAACACATCAAAAAGAAAAACAAACTCAAATAGATGAAGTCTAGAAAAAGTCTTTTAGCAGCTTGAACAGGAAGAAGTGCTATTTCGGATTGGCACAGAGCGATTGTGTTATGGGTTCAAAACGTTTTTGCACAAAATCATGTCAGTCTCAAAATTGTTTGCTTAGTTCACTTGGAGCGTCGAATAGTTTTGTGACTATCTCGGAAACTGAACATAATAAGAAAAGCAACATGGATGGATATAAAGTATCTTAGGTTAAACGATGGACAAAGGATCTGGGTTTGAAAATAAATACGTTTTCTTCTCCAAAAACAAAGAAAGAAAGAAAAAGGGCAATTGAACACCATCTGTGTCTTTACTGTCCACAGCAGACCGACACGTCTCCCTCAGAGGCACCAAGACTAATTACTGACAGTTCTGTTTTCATGCAGTTCAAGGATCAGTGTCTGATCAGACAGACACCTGCAGAGGATCCAGGATCCGACAGGATTCAAGATCCAGCTGGACCCCCCAACCCTCCCCCACTGTTTACTCGTTAGGTTGAAGATGATGAACGTGAACATCCACTGGAGCAAAAAGTGATCACTCGGAACTGCTTTGAGCTGGACTGGACTGTACCATCTGGACTGGACGACCTCCCCCTGTTTATTGTCACCATCTCTTTTGCTGCCGTTAGGCCACGTAGTTGTACTGGTTAGAGTTTTCTTTGTCTCTCTCCATGTAATCTCTGTCGATTAGAGACTCTATCCTCTTCTTCAGATCTGCAGGCTGGAGGAGGAGAAGGATTAGAGGGAGAAAAGGTAAAGGAAAGGAGAAGAAAGAAATTCTCTCCATGAGAGAGATTCACTAAGAAGAGAAAGAGGCAGACGGTAACGAACGAGACACATCGTAACTATCTTTTGTCTAACCTTGACATTTTCCTCCGATAACTTTTAGAGATTAGTTTTGCAGAGCTGTTTCTTGTGTTAGTTCTACTTTTTATAGCTACTTTTATTGCTAACTATCTGCTGTTATAGACTAAGATCCATCGATTGTTTACTTCAGCTTCTGTTAACTTTAAACTACTTTACAAACGGTCTGTTATTTCTTAAGAGCCCCAAACATCTGGACCAAGGGCCACTTCCTGTCCGTGAAGCCCTCATATCTGGCCTGTGACTATGCAGAACCACTTGTTTGATACAGAACAATGTCATAATAATTTCTTTTGATACAGAACAATGTCATAATAATTGCTTTATTATAATATTAATATTATAATTATGATTATAAGAATTGGTAATTGGACATACAATAGTAGACACTCCTTGGATCATTGTCACTGAATATAGTAGACACTCCTTGGATCATTGTCATTGAATCCATTATTATTGCAAGTGTAATTGATTCAAAAAGAACAGTAACAGATCTTTAGAACACCCCCGGTGGGCAGCTTAGGTACTCCACGGGGGCTACAAGGTGCCCCCACGTTTTTGACCGCCTGATCTAGACCAAATAATTGTAACATTTTAAGTTGGACTAGCGTATTTAACTGTATAATTCTACAAACTAATCTCAGAGTCAACTTCCAGTTTCTCACCTTCACGGGGAACTTGAGTTGGTTGTAAACCTCCGACATCAACAGATTATGGCTCAGTGTTTTTCTCATTTTCATAATCCTCACGATGGCAGCATCAATCTGATACTGACGGTCCTGGAAAACCCGCTCTGTCGTGCTGGCCTGCTCCTCCACCTGTAGTGGTCAAAAAGTTTACAATAAAAATGACAACCGTACAAATGGGAATGCAATGGGAATGAACATCGATCGAAGCCACAGCTTCACCGTTTCTTTCATCTGGATCTGGTTGATTTTGATCCTGAACAGCTTGTGTTTGAAGTCGTTGTTGCAAGAGAACTTGTCTCCATCCTCCACGTCTTTACTTTTGGGGATTTTTGCAAGGACTCGAGCTTTTCCGCAGGCCAGAGACTGCAGAGTCCTGCGCAGTTCGTTGTCCTCTGTGAACCAGCACAAAAAACGGTTTAGCATCACTGCAAATCCAGGCGTGAGTCCTGTCCTAATTAAAGGCTAAAACTGGACGTCCAAACCGAGAGTCATCAAGTGTGAATATATAGACCAGGCACATCATTACAGGAACTATTAACAGGTACAAAGAAAAACTCCAGGAGGCGCTTTGGGAAACAACAGCTATTTTAAACGTTTAAACTAATGACATGCCGTGCTTTTAAAAGGAGCGTTCGGCTTTGCACTGAATTTTAAGATAGATAGATAGATAGATAGCCCTAGCTAAAGGGGTTCAAGAAAGAAAAGAGAAGCCTAATAGTTATCCTGGTCTGGCTTTATCATCAGATTAGCCAAGCATAAAACATCAGATGAGGAAGAACCAACCTATTCCCGTGGCCAGTTTGATCTCCTCCAGTGTGAACTCCTCTCCCTCATTGAACATCAGTAAAACCAGGGTTTGAAATAGTGAGACTTGCAACTCCTTCTTACCCTGTGCTCAGGAAAAAAAAAAGAAAAAAAAAAGAAAAAAACAAAGACAATGATTTGCATGCATGCATGTCACTGAGTTGAAAAACCAGAAGATGTTTGTTTAAGTGTGTTATTCACCTCCTTGAACTCAGCTTTAAGAACGCAGTGGCCCAGCGTTGACTGCCACTGCAGCTTCCTGCCACTGTGTTTCCCAAGGTAGAAGGTCTTAAAGATCTCCTGCAACTTCACCATCTGGGTGGAGATGAAGCGAGAGTTATTTATATATATATATAAAAGGTAATCTGCTCTTCATGATTTCAGGGTTTACCGATTGTTTGCTGAACACTGACCTCAGGAGGGAGATGAACCTCCATGGGGATATAGGTGGGCCAGTAGCCCATGGTGAGGATGTTGACGGTCAGCTCAATGTTTCCCGGAATGTTCTGACACTGCATGTGCTGCAAGAGGAAACGAAAGCCCTCAAATATTCAGATAAAATTCCAGAAAATGTCACCTGTAGGAGGAGCTATTGTATAGTCTTTATCAGAGAACACAGGACCTTTACCATAGACACATCTGAACTTTTTTTTGTGCTGTCTAGTTCTAGGGCACATGTGTCAAACTCAGGCCCGGGGGCCAAATCTGGTCCACAGTGTAATTATATTTGGCCCGCAAGATCATATCAAATATGAACTAGAGTTGGCCCGCATGTATATAGCCCGTATATGCGGTCAGGATTTGTATTATTAGCGGTGTATGTGCTATGTTTTAGCATATACATTTTGTTTGTTTTTTTGTTGTTGGCCTGTGAAAAAAAGATTTACATTAAAAAGGAACTTGAAAGGCTATTTCATATTTAATTTGTCATTAATATTGTTTATAATATTAAGCTTTGGTCGTTCCATATCCAATGTTTACGCAAAACTTTATTTTGTTTATTTCAATATGAAAAAAATTCTGCATTACAGATCTGGACAGAAGGGTTCCAAGTAGTATTCGATCCTTGTGTCAGTTTGTTTGCTACAGGTGTTGTGTCGTGTTGATGTTCTCACCTGTTTGAATTGAACCATGATGTCTTTAGAAAGCTCCATGTCCTTGAACATTCCTTCCAATTTGCTGGTGAAAGCAGCTCCACATTCTGAGGAAACACCAGAAACCACCGTTTGAATTTTGATTTCCGTCATCAAACGGAGTCAAACTAACAGAACCACTGAACTCACCGTGCTTGAGCTTTGACAACATGGATTTCTCGGCGTCAACAGAAGCACTCTTTCCCACCAGCAACCTTTTGGCCACATCCTTTTTATAAACAGCACC